CCCCCCCCTAACGCAGCGGCTGGTGGGATTGTTGGGGGTATTAGAACCCAACCTATAAGAGGGTGGCCTAGGTTGAGAAACACAGGTTTAGACTATGGTTGTGTAACTGGTGTAACTTTTACACTGGGGGTAAAAGGAGGCCACACAAGGAGAAAGGTCTAGCAAGTCAATAGAAAGGAAAATGAGATAAAATAAGGAGGATCAAGGTGATGATGAAGATTGTAATAGGAACTGCATAACGATGGCTTAAATTCTCTTTGCATAATGCATAATGCAATAATTCTATTGCATTAACTGAATAACGGTGGCTTAAATTCTCTTTGACTGGCTAAAATGGGGGGCTTCGTACGGAAAAAAAAAAAAAACGCCATTTGCGCACCCCGCTTGAGAAAATGGAACCGTTTAGACTTCCCAGCTTCGGTTTCTAGTCCTCATGAAGGTGCGGGAGTGCTTTTCGGCTCCCCAGAAGCCTCTGCCCGGCCCTTATCGCTGCTTCCCGTGCAGAGAAGCAGAAAGACCTTGAGAACCGACTCCCAAGACGTTTCACGCTCCTTTACGGAGCTGAACGAGCAAGTGGCCAGCAAAGCCGGTTACGACGGCCGTTTGGTGCGCGGAGCCGAAGGAAGCGCCTCGACGCAGGAGGTCTACAAGGCGAAGACGCGGATGCGCTGCGAAAGTAAGCGGTCGAGGGGTGGCTGAGAAACGCATTCCAGTGGGGTTTAAGCTGAGATTTCAAGCCCTAGAGCAGCGTGGGCTTCCCCTCCCAGAATTCCCCAGCCATCAACTCCCAGAATCCCCCACCCAGCGTCACTGTCCCCTGAACCCCAAACAGGGCCAGTAAACGAAATTGTGAATTTTCCCCCAGTGCATCTGCAGATCGAGAGGGGAAGGACGGATATCCCAAATTGCAAATTCAGGTCCGAGCTTTGAATTCTGCAGCGGATCAGGGTGTGCAAATGGAACCGTCCTCCCGAACGTCCCACGCCCGGAGCAATTTGTACCTTTAAACGCTTTGGGAAACGTGCGACGTTCTCTTTCCTCGCAGGTATCATCCAGCAGGCGGTCAAGCGCTGTCAAAACTGGTTCAGCGCCAAGCATCGCTCTTGCATGAAGACGATAGCGGTGCCCCTGGTCAACCACCTGCTCTGCATCCCCATGAAATTCAGCTTCCTTTGCCATCTGGCCAAGGGTGAGTGACATCCTTGCATGTAGAAACCTAGTGTCTCAAGAAAGACCGGTCTGGACTCCTTGAAATGCTAGCTTTCTAGATGCAAGGAGATGTGAAGTGGGCGTTAGGATTGGGGAAACCATCCTGGTTACTCCCACCCAACCTACGAAGCGGTACAGTCTTACCCAGACTCGGCCCCCTTGCAAAAAACATTGAAACATGGCTCACTTGCTCCTCCTCTCTACCCGCCTTCCATTTCTCCTGCAGTCATGAACGCCTGGTGCCGAGACAAGATCCCCGTGGAAGGGAACTTTGGCCAAACCTATGACCGGGTCAATGGCTCTGTGGACAGTTTAAACCAAGATTTCACCGCCAGCGTTGTCATCCAGGTCTGTCGGATGGGTCGCCTTTCTCTCCTCCTGCTCAGATGCCCCCGAGCGACTCACAATGCGCCTTATTCGGGGGGCACCAAAATGACCCCCTGCCTCCACTTCCTCCTCCTCCCCAGGAGCAGCATCAAGAGATGCTGGTGGGGGCCAACCTGTCTTCGCACAAACACCTGGTGGATAACGTCAACGAACAGGTATCCGAGAGCACCCGACGCCTGGGCACCGCCGTGTCGATGCTGCGTGTCCTGCTGTCCTGCACGTTTATCCTCGTTTTCGCCTCGTGAGTCGGGGGCCCCCTTAGAAGGGTGGGCATAGGGTACGGTTGCTGTGACCTGCACGTAGAAGGACGCCATTCAAGCTTGGAGAGGAGACGCAGGACCGATCCACCCTCCAATTCCTTGCTGAGAAGAGTCGCTGGACCTCCCTCCTTCTCTTTCCAAGGGCCTATTCCTACACGAACAAGTACAACGAGGATATCCGGTTCGATAATCTCTACATATCCCGTTACTTCCGGCAGATTGATGCAAGGCGTCGAAAGCAGGTTAGTCAGCATGGATGGGGCTGCGGGGAGGCGTCCGAGAGGAGGGCCACAGCCACAGAAACTGGCGGGGAGGAGGGGAGATTTAGGAGGAGGGTTGGAGGGATGCATCTCCCTAATGGAACCTCCAGCAGCAGCAGTAGTCTATCTTGGAGTCTCCGATGCAAGATACAGCAGCAATACAATCTCTGGAAACGTCTGACCAGCCACCTTGGGAACTAGATGGGAAGCAAGCTGGAGCCATGGTATATGCCAATGGAACTTCCCTGTTCATGGCAGTCTACCTCCGAGCTGCAATTCTAGCTCTGGGCAAAGGAGGTGAGCCTGGGACTTGCCAAGTGCTGCTAAATTACAGCCTTTCCCACCGGGGAAACGGGCTGCAGTTGCTGGGATTTGTAGTTCAGCCACAGGGGAGGCTCCGAAGCGAGGCCGTGTCCTTTTTTTCAAATGCGCAGAAAAAACGGACGCTTCTGCCCCTGCGGCGGGCCGAGGAAAGCCGCGTCGTCGACCCGTTGCGCCTCACTTTCCAGCCAGCCGAAACCAAGAGCGTGGTGAGTGGAAGCGGGATGCGGGCAGAGACCCACTGGGGGAAGTTGGCGAGAGGCGGGAAGGGCAAGGGGGAACTGGCCGAGCAGATTGATGTTGGCGCTCTAGGGGGACGGCCCCAGGGCTGAGGCAGGGGGATATTCAGCCGGAGACTCGCTGAAAGCCACATCTCCATCTGTGTTTATTCTCGGTGTTCATAATTTCAGATTTCAGCTGACTGACTCATCTATCTTCCTTCCCTCTCTTTATTTTTTCCTTCCTTCCTTCCTTCCTTCCTTCCTTCCTTCCTTCCTTCCTTCCTT